CTTTTTTTTTTTTAAAGATTTTATTTATTTATTTGACAGAGAGACACAGCGAGAGCAGGAACACAAGCAGGGGGAGTGGGAGAGGGAGAAGCAGGCTTCCCGCGGAGCAAGGAGCCCGATGTGGGGCTCGATCCCAGGACCCTGGAATCATGACCTGAGCCGAAGGCAGCCGCTTAACCGACTGAGCCACCCAGGCGCCCGAGCAGGTGACTTTTAATCTCAGGGTTGTGAATTTGAGCCCCACTTTGGGTGTGGAGATTACTCAAATGTTTTCTAATTTTTAAAAATTTATTTTAGGGGCGCCTGGGTGGCTCAGTAGGTTAAGTGGCTGCCTTCAGCTCAGGTTGTGATCTCAGGGTCCTGGGATGGAGTCCCACATGGGGCTCCTGGCTTGGCAGGGAGTCTGCTTCTCCCTCTCTCTCTGTCCCTGCTTGTGCTCTCTCTCTCTCTCTCTCTCTCCAAGAGATGAATAAAATCTTTAAAAATATGTATTTTTAAAAAGACAATACCAAATGTTGGCAAAGATATAGAGAAATTAAAACCCTCACAATGTTACCTGTGGGAATGTAAAATGGTGCAGCCACTTTGGAAAACAGTTGGCAGTTCCTCAAAAAGTTACACATGGAGGGGGAACCTGGCTGGCTCAGTCGGTAGAGTGTATGACTCTTAATCTCATGGTTGTGAGTTCGAGCCCTTATGGTGGGTGTAGAGATTACTTTAAAAAAATAATAAAAATCTTAAAAAAAAAAGTCACACATGGACTAATCATCTGACCCAGTAATTCCACTCCTAGGTGTACTACTGAGAGAAAACATATGCCTACACAAAAACTTGTACACAGATATTCATGGTAGCATTATTCCAAATAGCCAAAAAACATAAATAGCAAACGTCTGTCAACTGATGAATGAACAAAATGTGATATACGATATGATGCAACATTATTCTGCAAAAAAACAGAATGGTGTGTGACGCCTGACTGGCTTAGCCAGTGAAGCGTGCGACTCTTGACTCTTGGTGGACAGTTTGAGCCCCATGCTGAGCATAGAGATCACTTAATAAAAAAAATTAAAAACAAACCAGAACGGAACGAAGTACTCATACATGCTACCACACGGAAGACCCTTGAAATCATTATGTTATGTGAAAGGAGTCGGTCACAGAAGACCATATAACTGTGTGATACCATGTATAGGAAATGTCCAGAACAGGCAAATCCAGAGAGACAGAAAGTAGATTAGGGGTTGTCAGAGAATGGGGAGGGGGGAGGGGGGGAGAGATAGTGACTGCTAAGGGTGTGAGGTTTCTTTTGGGGATAATGAAAATATTCTGGAATTAGATAGTGCTGATGGCTGCACAAGTCTGTGAATATACTACTGAATTGTGCACCTCAAAGAGTGAATTTTATGGTAGGTCACTCACATCTTAAAAGTTGTTATAAGTAATATATATTTTTGGGTGCCTACTATGGGCCAAGCACCATGCTAGGCACTAGGATTACAATAATGAGCAAAGCTAGATAGAGCTCTTATTCATATATATGTCATATTAAATATTACACCACACAAAAGATACTGGAAGATCATCTAAGGGAGGGCAATATAGAAGTATAGAAGCATTGAATCAATGTTGTATACCTGAAACTAATATAACACTATATGTCAATTATACTTCAATAAAATTTTTTTAATTAAAAAAAAAAAGAATTATGAGGTGAACACCTCCCATGTAACAACCCAGGTCAAGAAACAGAACACTGCCTTCCAGCTATAAAACAAGTAAGTCATTGGGGGCGCCTGGGTGGCTCCGTCGGTTAAGCATCCAACTCCTGATTTCAGCTCAGGTCATGATCTCATGGTCTTGAGAATGAGCCCCATGCTGGGCTCTGTGCCGTGTGAGGAGCCTGCTTAAGATTCTCTCTCCCTTTCCCTCAAATAAATAAATAAGTCATAGGAATATAATGTACAGCATAGGGAATATAGTTAATAATATTGTAATAACTTTGGGGCACCTGGGTGGTTCAGTCAGTTAACCGTCTGCCTTCAGCTCAGGTCATGATCCTGGGGTCCTGGGATCGAGCCCCCCATCGGGCTCCTGGCTCAGCAAGGAGCCTGCTTCTCCCTTTCCCTCTGCCCCTCCCCCTCCTCATGCTCTCTCTCTCTCTCTCTCTGTGTCTCAAATGAATAAATAAAATCTTTAAAAAAAAAAGACTCATCTATGCTGCATATGACTATAATGTTTTCACTGTTAGGATGTTTTTGTGTATGAATAGTACACAAGTGGTTTACCTTTGTTATCACTGATAAACCGTCAGGTCACTTCCTGCTCGGGATATGCAGAACAATGCTACAATGGGCTTCGTGTCTATCTATCCTGGTACACAGCCAGTTCATTGCCAAAGGCAAGATTACTCTTACCTTTAACTGCACCAGATCACACCAAAGTGTCTTCCAAAGCGGTTCACACTCCCTAAAAGAGTTCGAACCTTCTGCCTTTTTGAAGTACCTTTGAAAAGTGTATTTCATTTGGCTGATGGCTTACAAAAAATCTAAGTGTGTTTTCAGGAAAGCCGCTATCGGGCTATTTGAAATGGGGAGGAAGAGAGACACTTGGCTGCCTTAACCAAGGCCAACCTAGATCAGCCACCTGAAAATGAATAAGCTACAGAAATGCTTATTGCTGTATATGCCACTCAGAACATCCTGCTGTTTGTTTTACTACAAAAGCTAAATGAGACAATCTGGGATATGGGAATGGATTTATGATACAGAACTCTTCTTTGGAATGGCACCTAACATCATGAAATTTTCTTATCAATATTTATACTTACAGCCTGCTATGGCCTAAATGCTCTATCCCCCCAAATTCACATGTTGGAACCCCACTGCCCAGTGTGATGGTATTAGGAAGTGGGGCCTGTGGGAAGTGATTAGACCATGAGAGTGGAGCCTTCATAAGTGGGATTAGTGTCCTTATAAAAGAGACCCCACCGGGTGCCTGGGTGGCTCAGTTGGTTAAGCGACTACCTTCAGCTCAGGTCATGATCCTGGAGTCCGGGGATCGAGTCCCACATCGGGCTCCCTGCTCAGCAGGGAGTCTGCTTCTCCCTCTGACCCTCTTCCCTCTCGTGCTCTCTATCTCTCATTCTCTCTCAAGTAAATAAATAAAATCTTTAAAAAAAAGAGAGAGAGAGAGACCCCACCATGTGAGAATACAATAAGAAGTCTACAACCCAAGAGAGGGCACTTAGCTGACCATGCTGACACCCTTATTTTGGACTTTCAGCCTCCAGACTGTGAGAAATAAAATTCTATTGTTTATAATACCAGCCTGTGGTATCTTGTCACAGCAGCCTGAAGGAACTAAGGCAGAGCCTAACATTTTGAGTAAAGAATGAGGTCCTATTATTTGCAACACAATTTCAATTTCATTCATCAATATGTTAGAAGTGTAGCTATACATTGTTGCCATATATATACATATGTATATGTGTGTGTGTGTGTGTATATATATATATGTATATATGAGAAAACATTTGGCCTTCAAAGTCAAAAAATATTTATTATCTTTACAGAAAAGACTTGCCCAATGATAATTTTCCCTCTGGTTCTGGGAGGTGGGGGTCAATTTCCCTGGACAAAAGGGAAGCTCATACATTTGGAGATCTCACATCAAGGAGGAAAGGGCATTGAATTTCAGTAGCAACCAAGAATGTCCACCACAGCCACCCACCCACTCTACCTGCCCATATTATCATGGCCCAGGACATGTGTGAGTCACACAGGACAAAGTCAGTATCAAATACAGTGATTACGTCATAGGAGAAAATGAAGTAGGTTGGGGAAAGGCCCAGCTTTTCAACCATTCACTAGGGTTGAAAGGACTGACAGTTGGGGGGCCTGGCTGGCTCAGTTAGTAGAGCATGTGACTCTTGATCTCAGGGTCCTGAGTTCAAGCCCCACACTAGGTGTGGAGGCTACTTAAAAAAAAAAAGAAAAGAAAGGACAGTTATTATCTTCATAGGTCTTTTGTCATCTTTTAAAGAGGCAAAGACAATACAATTATACTTAATTCAACCATCCATTTATTCATCAAGTATTTATTAAGGACCTATTGGAAACTGTATTCATTTCCTAGGGCTGCTGTACCACAGACTGGGAGGCGTTAACATCAGAAATGTATTGTCTCACAGTTCTGGAGACTAGAAATCTGAAATCAAGGTGTCTGTAGGGGTGGTTCCTTCTGGAAGCTCAGAGAGAATCTGTTCCATGTTCCTCTTCTAGCTTCTGGTGGTGTTCCTGCCATCTTTTATATTCCTTGGCTTGTGGCAGCATCTCTCCGATCTTACTTGGCATTCTGCTTTTGTCTGTCTCTGTCCACATTTTCTCTTTGCATAAGGATACCAGTCATATCGTATTAGGACCTACCCTAATGACCTCATCTTAACTTGATCATCTGCACAGACCCTCTTCCAAATAAAATCACATTCACAGGAACCGGGGATCAGGATTTCGATGTCTTTGCGGGAAACACAATTCAACCCGTGTTTTGAGGCTTACAAGGCCACAGCATCGTTTTTTTTTTTTTTTTTTAAGATTTTTTTTGAGAGAGAAAAAAAGAAAGAGAAAGGGAGAAAGGGGGGGGGGGGGGGGGGGGGGGGGGGAGGAGGAGATGGAGAGGGAGACTCCCTGCTGAGCAGGAAGCCAGATGCGGGGTTTGATCCTAGGACCCTGGGATCATGACCTGAGCCAAAGGCAGACACTTAACCAACTGAGACACCCAGGTGCCCCAAGGCCACAGCATCCTTATACTCAGCCTTAAAGGAGTGGGAAGAAGCCAAGGAAGGAAAATAGGAAGAGGGAAATATAGGAGAGGGGAAGAGAAGAGAAAGGACGACAAAAGAGAGAAAAAGAGAAAAGTTGGAGGAGGGAGGCAGGACCAAGTACATAACTTGTGGGGCCCAGTGCAAAATGACAATGTGGGATTCCCTGCTAAAAAATTAAGAATTTCAAAATGGTGACAGCAGAGCATTAAGCCAAGCACAAGGCCCTTCTTTAGCATGAGGCCTGTGTGACTCCTCCAGGGGGAAAATGGTACTAATGGGTATACTGTGAGTCCATCTAAGGTGTCTTCATTTGGTTTTTTCACTACTTTTCTGTGTTCCTTGCAAGTCACCTATGAAGCAATTCATTCTTTCTACAGCAGGTGTATTCTTGGGTTACGACCCTTCTAAGATCCAATCTCTCAAGGAGAAAATAGTTTAGGAAGATGGTGGCTATCCAAAAGGGAAAATCTTGGGGATCCTGGGTGGATTGGTTGGTTGAGCACCCGACACTTGATTTCGGCTCAGGTCATGATCTCGGGATCCTGGGATGGAGGCCCCCTCAGATGCTTGCTCAGTGGTGAGTCTGCTTTAGGATTCCCTCCCTCTGGCTGCAGGAGCCATGTGCCCGCAGTCTCTCTCAAATAAATAAATAAACATTTAAAACAAACACAAAAGGGAATTTTTTTTTCTCCCTAGCCCCACGTAATGTCTGCGTAACTTCCTCAGAATACCCAAGAATCACTTTTCCTTTCAGTTGTTTGGATCCTTGATTAGGATTTGTAACTTGGCATGGAAGTTTCTCTGCTCACCAGCTTGACACTTCCTTAGACAGTTTTCCAGCTGCTCCCTGCTTAACCAGGTCACTGTGGTCAAAAAGTCACCTTCTGCCTCGTCCCCTGTATCAAAGCAAGTTCAAGAAAACACACAGGTTCCTGACCACCGGATTTGGTCCCAAACATCCTCAGCTTGGCATCTAAAACCTCCTCTCTCCCAGGCTACCCTACTATGTTCATAGAACACCATCTCCTATGTTCTCTGAGGTTACCCTCCCCTTTTCAGTCAAGACAGTCTCCAGAGCCACTTTACACTATCATTCCTAGTCCAAGCCCTTGCCCAGGCTAGTCCTACTCCTGAACCCCACAGTGTGATCTTTTCAAGGGCAGGGGCTGAATTATATTCATCTTTGAATCTCCAGTATCCAGGAAGGTGCACACGTATAAAACACGACATGCTTTCCACAAATGCCTATGGAATAAAGTTGATGAACTGACACAAGGGACTTCCAAAGCATTTACAATTTTTTTTAAGATTTTTTATTTATTTTTATTTGACACAGAGCCAGAGATAGTGAGAGAGAGAGCATAAGCAGGGGGAGCGACAGGCAGGCAGAGGGAGAGGGAGAAGCAGGCTTCCCGCTGAGCAGGGATCATGACCTGAGCTGAAGGCAGCCGCTTAACCGACTGAGTCACCCAGGCGCCCCAGCATTTACAATTTTAAAGATACAAAATCTCGTACCTGGATGCAGACTTGTTTCTTTTCCGCTTCTTACTGAACGCGTCTTCCAGACGGTTTCCTGTCTCCTAGGACGAACGTTTCTGTGGGCAAGAACATGTTCCTCTTTAATTTTTTGTCATAATACTTGTTTTCAAACTAGGCACCTAGGAGGCATTCAAAGCTCCCTGAGTCCTGAAGCCTTCTTTCTAGAAGGTAAAATTCATAGGGAAAAAAAGGAAACTTCGGGGGAAATCCTCCCTTCCCTAAAACCTGCATTTAACATACATGTAAACAGAATAATCTTGTAAAACCTTTTTTAGATGCACAAGTAAGTTCTCTGTGATCACATTCTGGTCTTTACATTTCTAGGTTCACTAGTTCTGCAGCAGGGCATCTCGGACAGCGCCCCAACTCTGCTTTCCATTCAGTTAGCATTTGCCGCGTTTTCTCCCTCCGCCCTTTAGGCTTCGGAATACGACCCGCCCACTTCCGTCAGGGGCGCCCTCAGCGCAGGCGCAACTCCAGACGCCACTCTACAACCCCTCGTTCTAGTGCTGATGTACGCGCATGTGCAAAAAGGGGCGGGCGGGTCAATAGCGCGGGAGAATGTAGGCCCGCCGAACTCGCGCGACTGTCTCCGCCCACCTAAATAGGAGGGCGGAGCCGACTGCCCGCTCCAGGTTCAGGCAGCGCACGCGCATTTGAGAACAGGAACGTGGCGAGGGAATGAGGGCGAGCTTTTACGCATGCTCATTTAAATGAGGCCTGAAGCTTTTCACGTCAGCTTCGTCTGCGGCCTCCTTTCCGTCTTAACCCTCCTCTGACGTTTAAAGGGCCAGAGCCTTTTTCCACCCAATTGATTTTTAAAAAGTTAAGCATTTATGGAGAGTCTTAGTATGTGCGGGGCCCAACTTATATTGTCTCCTCTGTGCATTTTCCAGTTTTTCCTTTTGTAGAAATTACGTTAGTATTTATATTTTTCATAAATTTCTTCCCTTGCCCCAAGTGTACTGTTCCCTTGGTGGCAATTCTCTGAAATGAGAGTCAGTGTGATGTTCTGGGCAGGTCTTCCTAGGTTAAGGGGTCTGAAATTGAATCCTCGCTCGGCCACTTCCTTGGTCTTCTACTCTGGATAGGTTATCTAATTTCTGTGAACCTGAGGTTGCTGACTCTTTAAAATGAGCATAAGGATTCCTACCTATCTCAAAGGATTGTTATGAAAAGTACTTAAAAAAAAGTATGGGGGCGCCTGGGTGGCTCAGTGGGTTAAGCATCTGCCTTCGGCTCAGGTCATGACCTCAGGGTCCTTGCTCAGCAGAGAGTCTGCTTCTCCCTCTCCCGCTGCCATTCCCCCTGCTTGTGTTCTCTCTCTCTCTGTCAAATAAATAAATAAAAATTTAAAAGTAATAAAAAAATTAAAAAATGTAAAGTACCAAGTACTATGCCTCACACCAGCTATATGTTAAATAAATAAATGGTAGTCATTAAGTGGAATTAATTCAGTCAGAAAATAGTTTTATAGTTTCTGTAACATAAGTCCAGATGGTTTTTCAAGAGGATTTACCTAATTGCCCGGATGGCTAGCAGTATATAATGGTGCCTCTTTCCCCACAGTGCTGCCAATATCACAGACCATCATTTTTACACATTTTTCCTAGTCTAGACAGTATGTAATGGTATGGCAGTGTTATTTTAACTTTCATTTCTTTAATTGCTAGTGAGGCTGTGCATTTTTCTTGGGGATGATTTATTAGCTGTGTTTGTTTGCCAAACAACTATTTTCAAACCCTGTAATTTCTAGCAGCTTATCCTTGCAGACATTAGGTTAGGTTCTGATAGAGAATTTTGCTGACCAATTAAAAAAAAAAGAAAGAAAGAAAAAGAAAAAAAAGGACTTGACAGAGAGAGAGAAATAAAACTTTCCAAGGACGGGATAGTGACAAAAGATAAGAGCTCATCCCCAAAGCAGCACTGTCCTGTAGAACTTTCTATGATAAAGGAAATGTTCTGTATCTGCAATGTCCCATATGGTAGCCAGTTGCCACATGTGCCTACTAAATACTTTGAATATGATTGGTGTGACTGAGGAATTTTTGTTTTTTTTAATAATTTTTTATTGTTATGTTAATCACCATACATTACATCATTAGTTTTTGATGTAGTGTTCCATGATTCGTTGTTTGTGCATAACACCCAGTGCTCCACGCAGAATGTGCCCTCTTTAATACCCATCACCGGGCTAACCCATCCCCCCACCCTCCTCCCCTCTAGAACCCTCAGTTTGTTTTTCAGAGTCCATCGTCTCTCATGGTTTGTCTAGGAGGAATTTTTATTTTTAATTCAACTTAAATTTCCATAAAAATAGCCACCTCCTTGATAGAGCAACCCTAGAGATTAGGAAAGAAGGAGAGAAAGCAAGGGAAAAGAGGAGCCCTACAGAGTCGGAAGTGGCCTCATTTATGTGAAGGGACTCAGGGTGCCTGGCTGGCTCAGCTGGTAAAGTTTGAGCCCCATGCTGGGTGTAGAGATTACTGAAAAATAAATAAATAAAAATCAATCAATCGATCTCTTTTTTTTAAAGATTTTATTTATTTCTTTGAGACAGAGAGCACAAGGGGGGTGGAGGATCAGAGGGAGAGGGAGAGGCAGACTCCCAGCTGAGCAGGGAGCCCAATATGGGGCTTGATCCCAGGACCCCGAGATCATGACCTGAGCTGAAGGCAGAAGCTTAACCGACTGAGCCACCCAGGTGCCCCTAAATAAATCTTTTTTAAAAAAATAAAGGGGGGACGCCTGGGTGGCTCAGTCAGTTAAGCGTCTGCCATCAGCTTGGGTCATGATCCTGGGGTCCTGGGATGGATCCCACATCGGGCAACTTGCTCAGTGGGGAGCCTGCTTCTCCCTCTGCTGCTCCCCCTGCTTGTTCTCTCTCTCTGACAAATAAATAAATAAAATATTTTTTAAAAATATGACTGGGGGCGCCTGGGTAGCTCAGTCGGTTAAGCAGCTGCCTTCAGCTTGGATCATGATCTCAGGGTCCTGGGATCAAGCCCCACATCGGGCTCGTTGCTCATCCGGGAGCCTGCTTCTCCCTTTCCTTCTGCCTGCTGCTCCCCCTGCTTGTGCTCTCTCGCTCTATCTCTCTCTGTGCCAAATAAATAAATAAAGTCTTTTAAAAAAATACAAAGGGACTCAAACTGGACTTTTGGCATTGTTCCTGAGAGAGACAGTCCCAGAGACCACCAGTCTTGACAAGAAGGGTGTGTTCGGTTTGCAAAAATCTATCAAGCTATACATTGATGATATTCCCACTTCTCTATATGGATTTTACACTTCAATAAAAAGTTAAACAATGTTTGCTGCTCTTTGTATTACACTCTTTAGGCATTTCTGTCTCTGATTTTTAATTTGGCCGAATGGAAAATGAAAAAGAATGAACGGTGGCCAGTGACTCACTCTGGATGTGTAAGAGCCCCTAGAGGGCGCTCATCCTGCATCGGAGACTTTTTTAAAAAGCACTTTAGGGCCACCTGGGTGGCTCAGTCGTTAATCATTTGCCTTCGGCTCAGGTCATGATCCCAGGGTCCTGGGATCGAGCCTGGCATCGGGCTCCCTGCTCAGCGGGAGGCCTGCTTCTCCCTCTCCCACTCCCCCTGCTTGTGTTCCCTCTCTCTCTGTGTCTCTCTCTGTCAAATAAATAAATAAATAAATAAATAAATAAACAAACAAATAAATAAATATATCTTTAAAAAAATAATAAATAAATAAAAAGCACTTTATTAGAGAGAACTCAGGTATCATACAATTCACCATTTCAAGTGTACGATTCCGTGGTTTTTAGTATGTTCACAGTGTTATGCAGCCATCATCACAGTCAGTTTTAGAATATTTTAGAATATTTTCACCCGCCCCCCGAAAGAAAGACCCTTTCCCTTAACTATCACCCTCCTAACCCCTCGTCTTCCCTCCCAAGTAACCACTCATCTACTTTCCGTCTCTGTAGATTTGCTTATTCTGGATATTGTGTCTGGCTTCTTTCACTAAGCACAATGTTTTCAAGGTTCACACAGGCTGCAGCTTGTCTCAGTGTTCCCTTTTTATGGTTGAATAATATTCCATTATATGGACAGATGACATTTTGCTTATCCATTCATCTTTTGATGGACATTTGAGTTGTCTCAAACTTTTGTTGATTACGTGCTCTAGAGACTTTTGCCGGTCCTGACGGGAGGGTCCTTCCTGCCACTTCTGGGAGATTGAGACCCAGATTACTCAACCCCCGAAGACCCCAGTCTCATTTTATTTAGGTGGTGCTCTCAGGAGTGGACTGCAGTGTGAATGCCCCCTCTAGAGTTGACAACTCAGCAACTGTTGGGTGAAATCTGCAAGGATTTCTTGAGAGGGCAGAGCCTCCAAGCTTTCAGCCAAAGCTTTATGCCCAGGAAGGTGTAAACAGGACCATGCCTCCCCAAGGGGATGTTTATCTTTGGGTGTACGGAGAAGACCATACATACGTGGTCTGGAGACCTCAGACCATGCAGGAGTGCTCTCTTCACCCCATGCTTTACAAAAGATCCTTGAGAAGAGCCCAGCTAAATTCTAGTCTGACAAGTAATTATCAGAAGGGTATTTGGAACAGGAGCCCTCAAGCTTGATGCTCTTGGCACTTCGGTATTGGGGAGTGGCCAGTCCATAGCTCCTACTCAGGAGTTTGAAAATAATGCTACCAGATCCTGACCCCATAGGGAGAACAATCTCATAGATTCGTAACCTGCCCATCCAGCTGGCCTGCAGAGGCAGATAAACCTTAACCTGCTCCACATTCTTCTCCAGAGGACGGTTCTAGCTTCCCTGAGCCAGGATCTGATTAGGGGCTGTGAAAGCGCTCCTTGCAGTGGTGGGACTAGGGCTCAGGCTGTGTCTTAGCCTGACCTAGGGAGAGAGGAAATTCTAGATCATGAGGCGCCACTCAGCAGGTGGCAGGGTGGTTCTGGATAAAACCACAAGCCAAGGAACAGTTTGCACTAGGATACAGCCTACTGGGACTGCTGGCCAGGCGTCTGAGAAGGAGAGGAGAATATTGTGAGAGAACCACAGCCATCAGTAGCATGACTGGCCAGGGGCGGACTCCAGACCCTAGCTGGGCCACTCATGAATTTGGGATTGGAATTCAGAAAGAGCCAATTAATTTCTGTGAGTGGTTATATAACTGAGGTGATATATATATGGGGCAGCTGTTTTCCACCAGAAGAAGGAGAAAGCTGAATGAAGGAGACACACAGAGACATGGAGAGCCCAAGAGAGAGGAAGAGGCTGGCTTTGCTGTTGACAGCTTTCCAACACTCTTGTATCCTTAATACATTTCCTTTATGAGGTAGTACAAGATGGCATCTCTAGTTGCAACCAAAAGAAACTTGGATGAGAAAGAATTTACACAGGGCAAGTTC